ATGGCCCCCCCCCCCCGCCTGACTTTCAGTGTTTTCTATGCTGTTGTTTTAGTTGTTGATAAAAGATGTGAAGGAAAATGCTGGCGTACTGTCCGAGTATTACTAAATGAGAGAAAAACATGATCGTAATTATTTGATTTATTTGAAGCATTTATTTCTTTACTTGTTTATTTATTTTACTTATTTTTATTTATTTTACTTTATTTATTTATTTATTTATTTACTTCTCCTTCTCCAACAACAAAAGCAAGCTCCCAGATGAATTTACAGTAAAAACAAAAGTTTCCATTTGGAGGCAATTTAAAAAGGGATAAGGAACAAAGAGAAAAGCAGTGGGGGCGTTGTGTGTCTTCCATTAGAGGGGGTGGAATGATTTGCCTTTCCTTTCCTTCTGCTGCAAACCACCGGCACTCCTGCCAGGGACAACAGAGAGAAAAGCATTCAAGAATGTGATATTTCAGCAAGTAGGGCCAGAGGAATAGCCCTGCTCCATTTTGTGTTCCAACATGATGGGACACTGTTCCTAGAAAAATAATGGGAGAAGTTTTGGTTTGAAGAGGGGGAAAGTATTTGGTGAATCTTTTCCCACAGTTGCTGAGCACTGAGTAAGGCGCATAGTGGCCAATACAATTTTAAAAAGACAAAGCCATTTTTTAAAAAGATAATGCAGTTATGGGCAATTATATCATGTTCTGTGCTTGTTTGTGGGTGGGAGGATGGGTGGGTCTTCTGCATTTTAGATATTTGAGCATCTCCTTTCTCTGCAGCATGAACCCTTATGCTGGTCTTGTGGATTGCTTGCGTGCTACCTGGCTAACAGGAAAGACACGTCCTATGGAGTATCGGAAAGAGCAGCTGGAGGGGCTGAGTCGCTTCGTGGAGGAGAGGAAGACAGACATCCTGCACGCCCTGCATGAAGACCTACGCAAAGTAAGGGTGGCTGTCCAGCCAGAGGTTCTGACAGAAACTTCAGATCTCGTCCAGGGCAGGGGAGCCACTTCAGATGTGGAAGGATGTGGATCACGCTGGGTGTCGACATCACTGATACATTTTCTCCCCTTTTCTTTCTTATTCACAGCCTGTTTTTGAGTCAGAGCTCTCTGAGATTTCTATCGTGCAGAATGAGGTGAACAATGCCCTCAACAACCTGAGCTATTGGATGAAGGATGAATCCGTGTCCAAGAACATGGTAAGGAGGTACAGAGCTGAGAAAGGAGGAAATGAGGGAAAGGATAACTCTGTGTTTAACAAGAGGAAGGTCAGGAGGGGCCGTGCTTTCATCTGTGCTTGTTTTGAAGGGCAGAAGTATTCAGCTGGTTCGGTTTTATTGTGTATCTAGATCAAATAGAGCTTGAACTGTCAACCTGAAACTAAAATGACTAACTCGAGAAATAGAGGCTCTAGAAAAGAAAATAAGTCTAGAAAAAAATAAGACAGCGATAAGACATAGAGGCTCTAGAAAAGAAAATAAGTCTATCAAAAATAAGATGGAATAAGACACAAGGAAGACCAACTATGAGATGGATTGATTAATAAAGGAAGCCACAGCCTGTAGTTTACAAACTGAGCATGACTATTAATGGTAGGAACTTTGGAGGTCATTAATTCATAGAGTTGTCATGAATTGGAAGCAATCCGATAGCACATAATAACAGGTTTGCAAAGGTACTCCTATGGGTCTCAAACTATAGCTTCCAGTGCTTTGTCTTCAGCACCTTATCTAATGTGCGCTACCTTGGCTTTCAACTGCATTAGTAAAATTATTTTTTTAAAATCCCAGTTTAAATCCATTTAAGCAGTGTGCTTTCAAACCAGTGGTGAGCGATTTATAGCCCTCCAGCTGCTGAACTGCCCCTGCATCTAGAAAAGCCAATGATGAATGGTGGTGGGAGTTGCAGTTCAAGAACATCTGGAGCCCATCCTTCTCTTCAAAGCATTTTCTCTCTCTTTTTTTTTTGTTTTTTGGTAATGTGAATATAATACCTACAATGGGCTTTTCCTGATGGGGCATTCATAACCCCCTTGTGTTTCCTGATACGCAGATCTTACCAAGATTTATACCGTCATCCAAATTATGTTGCTCATTATCCCAGTATGAGGAAGAAACCAGTTGTTTTTTTGGGTGGAGATTTGCTTTCCACCCCTCAGGTTTTTTGGTGCTGCTTGGTCACTTTTCCTTCCAGTCTGAAACGTGCCCTTCCTTTTTCTTCTAAAAATATCCTGACTGTGAAATTGAATGCAGAGGGGATAGAAGGGTCTCTACAGTGTTGGCCTGAGTGCCTGGGACTACAGCAACAATGATGGCTGCTGGGGGAGTGTGGCTGGTGGCGAGGCCTCCTTCTGCGCACTGTAGGCCGCCACCCGCCTCACATCTCTCTAGGGGAGGAAGTGGCAACCGAAGCAGTGAGAGGGTGTTTCCTTGCCTGATAGGCGTGATCTGGGCTGTTGAGTGAAGATGTGAGCATGTGAACTGAAGGGTCCCCAAGTGAGGATGGGGCTGCAGGCAGAAAATGACCCCAGATTGGGCAGGGCTCCTCTCCCTGCTGAGGCATAGGCAGGGACTGTAGAAAAGGGCATTTCCTGCCCTACTGGATGACAGAAATCCAGAGCTGGCACTGGTTTGCCTTAGCTCCAAATAAAAAAAAAAAGCAAAGCGTGCTGCTTATATACCGCCCCATAGCGCTTCAAGCACTCTCTGGGCAGTTTACAAGCTGGATGACAGAAATCCAGAGCTGGCACTGCTTTGCCTTAGCTCCAAATGAAGCAAATCTGCCCATTCAAGCAGCAGAACCAGAAATTTATCAAAAGCACTGCTATCAAAAGATAGACTGGGTTTAAGAGCAGAGAATGTGATGCTTCATTTTCTTCTCAGTGACATGAGATAGGGATGTATGGTAGAGGTACCCACTGAGGTCACCATGTCTTCCTCTTATACCTTTGAAATTCCCCCTTTCCCAATTAGAAAAAGGAAAACCAAATTAATGTAAAAGGAATGCATTTTCTTCTTTGAGTAACCCCCAGTGGGGCACTGCAGCTGCTTAGGTTGGTGGTGGTAGCTTTGGTTGGGTTCCCTCAACAATGGCAGCAATGAGAGGATAAAATAAAACAGAACAAAACAAAACAAAAATTGAGCTCCGGAGAGGATGGTTAGAGAGACTTCAGCTGGATATTCAAGGAGCTTAACTCAGGACACAGATCCCCATAATTAGCAGTCACTCTTCTGAAATTACAGGAAGCAGCAAATACAGGTAAACACCTATCTGGAAGAGCCCCAATGTCTATAACGTATATTCAGTTAAAATAGCATCATCATCATCCATGCATCTTTATTACTTTTCTATCCTTAATTAACTGTGTTCTCATTGCACATAAATGAGCCAAGAGAGATGAAAAATGCTTTTACAAGTAGTGTTATCTGTGAAAACATGTTTAAATTTCATACGTGCATTTCACCTAAGGGACAGTGTGCTCTGCCCCTCCAAATCTTAGTTTGAAATATGAACACTCCTTTTTATATCAGATCTGCCTTGTGTAGATACTGATTATCCCAGCTGAGCTTTAAAAAGAAGAAGACTAATGGTACCATGTCTTAGCTTATAAATCTGTTTATCTGTATAAATGTCATAGTTATGGACAATGACAGCATCTCTCTTTGTGTGTGTGTTTGTGTATGCGTATGCATCACTATCTAAATCTCATCAGTCAGGACTGGAACCTTGTATTGCCCTCTTGGTCTAAGTGTTGTATTACTTGCATTTTTCTCAGGAAGAAAGTCAATTTTAAGAGCATTCGGAGAGACAGGATTTAATTAAATTAAACAGAACACTAGTCACAGGTCATACAATATAATGAGTATCACTGAATGCAAATGCACAGGATGTTGTCTCCAGTGTATAGGTAAGGGTGTGATTACACAGGGAGGAACACCTAATTTGCTTTGAAGTTTTTAAAACCAGATCCCTGCTAAATTCCATTGCTGAAATTGCTGCCATCATCCACACATATGATTATCTCATTTTAAAAATCCATGCCATACTTCCCAATCAATTCCGTTTTCATCAAGAACACAGCCCTACTATATTAATAACTCCCTCTTTCCCTTCCCTTCATCCTCTTCTTTGTTTTTTAATTTAGTTTTTAAAGTGATGTAGTTCTTATCTGATACAGCACTAAATTTGACTAGCATAGTGGAAAAAAGGAGACAGAACATGCTCATTTGAGGGGAAATTGTTCTGCTTTAATATCCCACTAAAGATGTTACTGTATGACATGCCTGTGACACTTCTTCGGTGCAAGATAGACTGTCATGTGTGTCAGAAAATGTAGAAAAGAGATGCCAGTTGAATTGGTACAAAATAGCCACCCCCCTTCTGGCTGAACAAAAAGGGACAAATGGCCATTGAAAAAGATGCCCATGCTCAGCTTTATGTCCTGTAGCTATTGGGAAATTGATTTTAACTGTATCACCTCTGACACAAATGCAAACCATGAAGTGAGCTGCAATGTTGTCTCACCCTAATATAACAACCACTGTACATGTTTTAGAAACCGTAAGTCTGCAACTGGGACCAAAACACAAACAAAATACTGTAGTGGCAACTCACTTCAAATGAGAACATCACAGCCTATCTGATTTGTCTGCTCCTTATTAGAAAGGAAACACAACCAGGCTGAGGAATGCTGGAAACAGGAGAGAACTTATAGATATATCGATCCACACCCCAGCATCACATGACCTCAGCCTGGAAAGGAACTCCTATCATCATCATTCATCCTCTTAGGAATGTTACATCTTCTTTATTCCATAGTGGCTACCTTGGGTACAGGCTGCTTGAAGAAGGCAAACATCTACAAGAAGGCAGAAGTCTAAATGTCTTGCTGTAATATTTTGATATTTCTGTTTTCTTGATCACTCAAATGTATAAATACAAGAATACAAGCACATGTGGCATGACAGCAGTACTGTATAACTTTTCATTTCCAGCGTTGTTGGGACCTTGCAGAATCTTTGGGAAAGGGGCTGAAAGAGAGTGGGGGGAATCATTTATTAAAGGAAAAGTATAATGTGAATGGACCTGTAATTTCAAGTGAAAGAAAAGTTTTCATTTCTACCATGGACTGTCTTCTGTGTTCCTCTCCTTGTAGGCCACCACAATGGACTGTGCCTTCATCCGCAAGGACCCCTTCGGTGTTGTGCTCATCATTTCAACCTATAACTACCCCATCAACCTCTCCTTGGTGCCTCTGGTGGGGGCCATTGCAGCTGGTGAGTGAGAAGCCCCCGAGAGTTGCCATCTAAGACACTACTGCAAAATCAGTCCCAACATCCATTTCCCTTGCTGGTCTTTTGACCGTACCTCTTGTGGCCTGATCGGTTCCAGGACTGGCATGAATTTCTCTCTCTTATTAGGGCAATGTGTTCTTCTCTCTCATCAGGGAATTGTGTGATTCTCAAACCTTCAGAGCTAAGTACCTGCACAGAGAGGCTTCTCGCTGACGCACTGCCTTGCTATCTTGATCCGGTGAGTTCCCTTGTGAGGTTGACTGCCTTGCTTTTTTTTTTTCATCACAAGGGCTCATCTCCCCCCAACCTCACTTTCCACAACCCACCCTCCTTCATCTATGGGTACTGTATAAAAATCTGTGTGTACCTAAACATCAGGCTAATTCCTTCAGGCATTTAATGAAGTGGGCTGTTGTCCACCATAGCTCATGCTTCAATAAATGGCTTAGTCTTTAAGGTGCCACAGAGACTTGCTATGTGGTGGAATTTAAAAAAAAGAGATGAGATGTGTAGAGGTCAGCACTGATCTCTTGTCACATGAGGAAGCTGGTGGTGGGCAGGGAGGGAGCTCTGCAGTTTTGGATGTACATCTGACCCCTGGAGCTGGTTCACATGCACAAGAATGTTTATGGAAAAATTGTTCCGCACAAACACATTTTAAGTCCATTTAGTGTGTTTAAAGATGAAGTAGGCCTTTTAAACCACAGTGAATTCAAGTACTGGTCACCAATTCATTTTTCTGGAGTTTAAAAGTCTGTCTCACTTCCTTGATGAAATTCTGCAGAAAAAAATTAGTGATAGGCAAATTATGTGTAGAGAAGATTTTGTTCTGGGATGCAGCAATTTACTTTTTGGGGTTTTTTTAAAGATTGGGGTGGGAATTGTGCAGCTCCTCTCCAGGCTCCCAGTGGGAAAAAAATGCCCTAAACATGACCAGTTGTGCTACCAGAAGCCTTCAGGACGTGCTCCTGGGCATTTAAGACTATTATATTGTTCACCTGGCCACACTTGTTTGAAGCCCAAAATATTTCCTTCCTCCTGCTAAAAAGTGGAAATAATTTTTTGGTCACTTCTGATTTCAGGGGAAAAGAGGGGGAAAGGCTGTAGTCCACTGATATACAGGGGTGCCTTTAAAAACAGGGTGGAGACCATCTCTGGACCATCAGTCGATCCCTCCTGTTATCTTAGATATAATACTGGCATGGTGTTCTCTTTCTTTCTAAAATGTGAGAGTGCTCTAAAGGGCTGACGAGACTTATTTTTTGGTCACTTCTGATTTCAGGGGAAAAGAGGGGGAAAGGCTGTAGTCCACTGATATACAGGGGTGCCTTTAAAAACAGGGTGGAGACCATCTCTGGACCATCAGTCGATCCCTCCTGTTATCTTAGATATAATACTGGCATTGTGTTCTCTTTCTTTCTAAAATGTGAGAGTGCTCTAAAGGGCTGACGAAACTTTAATGCAGTAGAAGTCTAGTCTTGCTGTTTTTTTAAAACTGGAATCTGTAGGGGAGAAGGTAGACCCTTAGAAAGAAGAAGAGGTAGGCCAAGGTGTGTTGGTCTTTTCTTCACCTCCTATTTCTCTGCCCCATCGTGTACTCCAAAGAGCTTTTTCTTAGAATCTGACAGGCAATTAACTTCCTTCATTATTTCACAGGAAACTTTTGCTGTGGTAACAGGTGGCCCTGAAGAGACAACTAAATTGCTGGAGAACAAATTTGATTACATCTTTTTTACAGGTGAACTCTTCTTTTAAAATTTGCATTGTTGTTATAGAATAATCTTATATAAGAAAACATACATAATAAAAATTAATAAGGTCATTGTAAAACAGAGTGCTTTGAACTTTATATATGCACATATAACTGTGACCACATTAATCGTTCAGATTTTCTAGATACCGTAGGATGTTTTATTTATTAAATATCCTTTATCTGAAGATACTAAGGCTGATAGCAACTCAGTAGTGCCCTGGTTGGAGCTGGGTTTGAATCCCATGTCCAGTGCAGCTCTCTTTCTATTATACCTGGATGGGCTGGTGTGACTTAACGGTCAAGGCCTAGTCAGTGTAGGCAACCTTGTTTCTTCACATACTTTAGATTACAAATCCTATAAACTCCAGTCAGTATGACTGATGGTCAGGAAATATGGGATCAATGGTACCTGGGATGATGGTTTATGGTGCTAATTATAAGGGGGCTTCAATGTAGTTACATCTTATTTTAGAAAGCGACCAGCAAGCCAAACCCATGCCAATCTTCAAGCCCCATTAAGTTCCCTGGCTTTGGTTGCCTTGTTCTTAATATTTCTATGCTTATATGTACCTAATATTGCATGGAGCACATGCACGTCTATATGTACTGTATTCTGAAAATTTCTGTAGGCATATTGCATTATGCAGTGTGGAATACAATATCCTGAATCTCTTGTCTCCTTTTCCACAAAAGGGTAATTTCACAGTCCTCATGGTGGTAGAGGTTGAAGATATACAGTATTCTCAATGTTCAGTACTGTTTTAGGAACAAGAAGGAAGTTTTACAAGATTCCAGGTGTTTGGGTATTAGGCCTTCAAGGTTCAAGTGAACTCAGAAACTCTGTCTTTTCTCACCCCAGTTCTCTCTTCTAGAACATTATATGTCCTGTCTGTATATTTGTGTGTGTGTGTGTTTCATCTGCCCTCCACAAAGCCTTAATCTTAGAAGTTTAATAGATCAAAATATAAACATGCTAGTTTACTTTCCAAAGTGAACAGTATTTCATTTCCATTAAACTTAACATTTTTATTATAATCTTATATTATAGATAAATCCAGGAGAGAAACAAATCACTCAAATATACTGTAGATTGCTATTGAACTCTCATAATTAGCAACAAGTAGGGGGGGAATCAAAGAAGTCTTATCACATCAGTTTAATCAGGTGTAAGCTTTCATGGACCGCTGCCTGTTTCATCAGATGCTGTGGTGGGCTCTACTCTTTGAAAACATATGTTTAATGACCTGTTAGTCTTTACATTGCCACAGAGCTCTTTGTTATTTTTGTTACAACAGACATATAGCAACCCACTGGAAAGATAAGCACTTAAAATGTAATATTTATTGTTCACAAATGATCAAAAAGAGAGAAAATAGAAAACAAGCTAAAATAAAAAATAAACACAATCAGTATTTCAGCATATTAAAAAAAATCTGTACTTCCATCTTGAAAATGATTCTTTGAAAAATGCATAAAAGAGATAATATTTCAACAAATGTGTTAGTATGTTCTATTGAAATGTCCCCCTGAGTATTCTTATAAAAATAAGTCAGTTTTCTTAGCACTGTACTTTTTTAGATTGTTTTTAACCAACCTGAAATTAAAGACATTTGAACAGGTTTGCCATTTCCTCCTACATATATTCTTGTAGAAAAAAATAATTTAAATAGTTCTAAATCAATAGTTTTAGATTTTACTTTTGAACATCCCAGCAAATTTATCTTTCAGTCAAATGAAAGATTATGTCATGTCATCTAACAGTCATGACCTAAGATTGTCCACCAAAGCATTTGCATATATGAAAAGAGCACCACTGTGATGCATAAAATCTACCGGAGAGGGATTGTACTGCCAATAATTGGAAACAAAAGTATTAGTACAGTGTAAGAGTACCATACCATCCTGAAGACACATAAGTTTAGAAGCTAAGTAAGGTAATGTCTCATTAGTACTTCAGTGGGAGACTATCAGAAAACAATAGGTACTGTGTTGAGGAAGGGCTCATATGGACCATATGCTCTGCACACAGAAAGACTCCAGCATGCCCTGGTACTGCCAGGAAAGAATCTTGCCTGAACCCTCAGAGAGTTGCCTCATGCTCAGAGCAGTCAGTACTGGACAAGATGGACCACTGATTTGATTTAGTACAAAGCAGTTTTCTATGTTCCTGTGTAAGCAATGACTAGATGCTGATAATCTGAATGAATTAAGGCAGCACTCTCTGTGTGTGTGTGTGTGTGTGTGTGTGTGTGTTGGTCTATAATTCTTTCATGAACACAGATTTAATATCTCTTTGATGCAGAACTGGGGTGGGGTGGGAGGGTTGGGGTGAAGCAGGCTGTGTCCCTCTCCGTGAATGCCTCAGCTCTTGCTGTACTTCTACAGGGAGTCCCCGTGTGGGAAAGATCATCATGTGTGCAGCCACCCAAAACCTGACACCGCTGACTCTGGAACTAGGGGGCAAAAATCCTTGCTATGTGGACCAGTGCTGCAGTTTCCAGAATGCTGCCAACCGGATAGTATGGGGAAAGTTTTTCAATGCTGGCCAAACTTGCATTGCACCAGACTACGTGATCTGTACCATTGAAACACAGGAGAGGCTCATGCCCTGCCTGCGCCAGGCCATCCGTGAGTTCTACGGCTGCAACCCCAGAGATTCTCCTGACTTCGGGCGCATGATCAACGACAAGGAATTTCAGCGTGTCCGAGCCTTGCTGGAGTGTGGTCGGGTGGCCATCGGTGGAGAGACAGATGAGTGTGATCGTTACATTGGTGAGCCAGTGCACTGATATCCAGAAGTTGGGATGTGGGCAGAAAGACAAGGAAATCCTGTTACTTAGGAAGTGTGCTAAGTGGGGATTTAGATCACAGATGGCGAATACATGGCCTTCCAAAGAAGGAAAAACGTTGCAAGTAATGTATTTATCAAAACCATTTATTGGGATGGGGGTAATGAGGGTATAACAAAGTTACATTTCAGAAGTAATGCAACAAGTAGGAATGAAGGTACAGTGGTGCCCCACATGACGACAATAATCCGTTCGTTAAAACCGCTGTACAATGAAATGTCATCATGTGAAAAAACCCATTGGAATTCATTGAAAACCGTTTAATGCGTTCCAATGGGGAAATACCTCATTGTCCAGTGAAGATCACCCATATAGAACCGCCGACTGCGTTCCAATGGGGAAATTTTTGCGAAGCTTCTGTCTGGAAAACAGCCATTTTGCGAAGGGAAGCCAGCCATTTTGCGAAGGGAAGCCGTTTTGCAGAGCTGGAAAAATCATTGTTTTGCAAACAAACGGTTCACGAAGCAAGGACCTAATCAACATAAAGTGAAAATCCCCCATAGGAAACATCGTTTTGTGATTGCATTTGCCATCACAAAAAAGTCATCGTCAAGCGATTTCAACGCATCTAGTGGGGCATCACTGTACTTCACTGACATCGTCAAGCGATTTCAACGTCATGCGGGTTACGCATCTAGTGGGGCACCACTGTACTTCACTGGAGTAACAAGTAATGTTTTCTAGTTAACCTTTTAGGGGCCATTTTGAGAGATGTTTTCTCATTTTGTACGTGCTGCATGTCATGAAGTCACATTCAACCTACCTAGTAGGGTTTTCAAAGTCTATGAAATATTCAAGGAGTGGTTTTACCAGCTTCTCTCCATAACTAAGCAGGAATTTACACCCAGGTCTCCTGAGTCCTAGTCTATCACTCTGTTGACGACAGGATTATCAATCCTAAGGGTTTGAAAAAATTAATGCAAAATAACAAGCAAGCAAAGTAATGAGGTACTTTCTCAACACTGAATGAGTTACAGTTCTTTTTCAAGCACAGTAAGAAGTAATGGGACTCCTTTTTTTAAAAGAACTTTCCACATTGTGCTATAAGTGTGCCCCCCCATTCCCAGCACAGTAATGATGAGTGAGTATGGCAGGAGAGACACTTTAGACAGAATGTGATGCATTGGTGGACCTCTGCATTGATAGCCATAGAGAAAACAAAGATCATGGTTGTATGGGTAGGGTGTACAAGTATAACCTATCTTGCTGTGATCTTTTGCCCACAGCCCCAACAGTGTTGGCTGATGTAAAGGAATGGGAGCCTGTCATGCAAGAGGAGATCTTTGGGCCCATCTTGCCTATTATCACTGTGGATGACGTACACGAGGCCATCCGATTCATAAACTGCAGGGACCGCCCACTGGCCGTCTATGCCTTCTCCTGTAATTGCAAGGTATGTTTTCAGAGTCATAGGCATGGACAGTGCCTATGATACTGCCACTCGCATGCTGTTATTATTGGTTTGACTTACCGTGTTTTTCAGTGTATAAGACGACACTTTTGTCTAAAATATTTTGATCAAAAATTTAGTGTTCTCCTATACACAGAAGTAAGGAGGGGAAGGGATCAAAGCGCTTTGATTCCTGCTTTCCCCTTCCACTTTCTTGCGAGGAAAGTGCTTTCCCCTTCCACTTTCTTCACAAAAAGTGGAGGGGGAAAGCAGGAATCAAAGCGCTTTGATGATTTGTATGGAAGTCCTTGGTATCTGTTTGCTTTCTGCTTGAGGTGACTTAGGGTGTGACAAGATGAAACTTTGTCTCACGGTTTGGCCCACTTTAGGAATGGGGTGATCTACTCCTTTTTCCAGTGACCACATGGCATTGTTGGTCCCTGCCAGGCATTATTTTTTTCCTTTTAGTGTGGGTAGGATTGGTTGGTTTTGGTTCTGCACTGGAATGTGTGATTGATCAAACCAAAGCAGATGGCTGGCTGTTACTTTGCTTAGCTACTACAGGATCTAATCAGTTATGAACAAATTGAAAGCTTCCTCCTGTGGAGGGGGAGACAGAAGAGGGTGCAAAGGTTTGTGTGTTTTTTAAAAAAGTCTGTTGTAATCCATCAATGAACTGGTTGATTGGCAAGCCAATTCAGAGCATGCTATTGGAAAATAATTAGAACAAAATTGAAAGATTCCTCCCTTTTCTTTCCCTTTAAAGGGAGGGACAGCCTAAATAGGTTTCCTTGAGGTACAGTATGGTTTTCTGTCCTGAAACCACCTGATCCTAGCATACGGATGCCAGGATTGTCTCAAATTACAGTATATACCACACCCCAAAGTGACAAGTTTAGAATGATCCAGTTGGAGAAAATTTGGTTATCAAATTACCTCCCAGATTAAGACGTTTCTGCCTCACCTGCAAACAGTGGCCAGTAGATGGTGCTGATGTAGCACTCATCAAATTGTGACCATAACCTCCTTTATAAACCTGTTTGCCCAGAGGTTTTCCAAATTATCTGCCAAAAGCCCATATCGCATGACATTTTTAAAAGAATTCAGCCTCTGGGAATATGTGATGTTGATGCACTGCATCAGCTCTATATACACATATTCTCTGTATCTCCTTTAGCTTCCACCAATGTATCTGTGCAATGGAAACGGGCAACGTGGATCCGCCCCATGAATGAAAAGGCGTCTGCCAAAACCCTTAAGGCCTGCTGGCACTCAACACACACACACACACACAAACACACGGCCAAAATATTGAGGGGAAATGTTCAAAGAGTTCCTTTGTCTCCTAAGTGAGGCAATGGGGTGGGGCAAAGTTTTAAAAAATATATTTGTGGCCACTAGAGGGCACAAGGGGCATTTTCAATTTTAAAACCCATTTATGTGAGAAAAGAAGGTATGGTGGGGATAATGTGAGGGGTGCAACTTCTAAGGTCTGGAAATGAATCTATGCTCATTCGTACCGTAAATTATCTTTACTACTTAATCTCATAGCTTCAAAATGTAAGAACCAAGGCATATATGACTCTTTCTGGCTCTGGTCGTCATGAGTAGGAGTACTTTTCATATGCGTACTGTAAATCTGAGCCATCTTTGATATGTGAAAGAGTTTCATATATTTCATCTTTTACCACATCCCTCATTGAGGATCCAGAGACAGTGCAGAACATTGGAAGAAATGGCTCACTTTCATTTCCAGTCTGGGCAGGGCTGATTGGCTGCAGAATTGATACCTCCAGCAGCAGCATTGTAACAGCCCTGCTTCAGGTGCTATATATTTTTAGAACGAACTACATGAATGCAAAGGCAGATGCAATTATACAAGAGAAAGTAACTGAACGATTTAAGAAACATTTAGTTGAAAACTTCCTCATTTGGTGATGCAATACATGTGTTTAGGACTGGACCTTTGATTTGAGTTTTGAGATGCAAAATATGTTAATTAATACCCATTTGATGGACCTAAAATATTTTTAGGTGCAACTCTTAATTTATACAGAATACTGCTAGATGCAGAGTTCTGTGTAACTCAAGCATTTACACATTTTTAGAGGAACAGAACCCAGGGTGTGTGTACACAATAATATATAAAGGATTGTCTTTTAAGAGTCTACTAGAAGATTACTTAGGGTAGGCAGGAACCTTTGTTGTTGATATGTCAGTGGGAGACAATAAGAAGTATTAGGGAGTTAATCATCTTTTTTTTTTTTGCTAATGTGAATTATTTGATTTCACATGAACTTTACATTTTCTCATCATTTTAATAAGGGTGATGTCATGGTAGTACCACTTCAGTGAATATCATTTTGGTTTGGATAACTTATCCACTGAGCTTTGGGAAAACTGGCTAAAGGGAAAAAAAGAAAAGGAAAGAAAACAGGGAGAAAAGAAAAGAAAAAACAATATTGTGGCATTTTAAAGATTATCCCCCCTTCACCGATTGTTCCCTTGTCGTGGCGAAGGGGCTTGAGTAATTCAGAGAAGCTACGGGCTATGCCGTGCAGGAACACCCAAGACGGACAGGTTATAGTGGAGAGTTTTGACTAAATGCAATCCACCTGGAGCAGGAGCTGGCAAGCCACTCCAGTATCTTTGCCAAGAAAACTCCAGGGAGAGAAACAAAAGGCTAAAAGGTATGATGCCGGAAGATGAGCGACTCAGGTTGGAAGGTGTCCAACATGCTACTGAGGAAGAGCGGAGGACAAGAACGAGTAGCTCCAGAGCTAATGAAGTGGTTGGGCCAAAGCTGAAAAGACACTCAGCTGTGGACGTGCCTGGAAGTGAAAGGAAAGTCCAATGCTGTAAAGAAAAATACTGCATAGGAACCTGGAATGTAAGATCTATGAACCTTGGGAAGCTGGAGGTGGTCAAACAGGAGATGGCAAGAATAAACATCGACATCCTGGGC